AATTGATCCCTCCTTCAAATATCAGGTTCCTGGTATAACCATTACAGCATTGATTTCTAATGCAATGAGAAAAGGAAGATACATTAGGGTATGATCAAATACGTGATATTATTGAATTACAACCGTGATTATACAGCCAACGCGTTGTGTATGGTTTAACACACACCAAAAATGAGACATAATGAATATCCTTTAGTGAAATATACTCGTTTCTCTTTAATGATAAAACAGATATAGCTTCAAATTGTTCTACGTTTCTAGCATACTTACATTGTTTAAACTTTTCTGTGAACTACTGACAGAACAATCAAATCGATTTTTATACCGATCAAGACCTAAATCGTCTAACTCCTAATTGGTTAATTTAGATATATCATGGCAATACTTAATTGAAAACTAGACAATTTGCACATACACTACAGATTGATGAAACAAGAAAATAAACAAATTTCAAATCGGTTTTTATTATTTAGTGCACAACAAACAGACAATTAACCAAATATATAATGGAGATCAAATACTCTAATATTTGTGTATTGCAAACTTTCCTTTAGATATATTTGGCGAACATTAGAGATTAGTTATACGCCAAAACCATCACATCACATATTATTCAAAGACAGACTTTTTAAAAAGAGTTAATAATACTGTAATATTATTTGTTCCTTTTCGCTGAAAACATTTAAAGCACTACTGGATCAGGCAAAGATTATCTGTCTTCAAATCACACGTGTAATCACAAGAGTAATCACACACGATGTGGCCTCTCTGTGCTGATCTGTTTTTTTTTTTTTTTAGTCTTTGTCTTTTAAACAGTTTCTAACCTACCTCAAATATCTGTGTACGAAACGTGTATACGGTTTTCAAACCTGAAATACCTAAAGTGTTCGCAAGTAAACATGATCTCCCTGATGTGATGTGTTACGTAATCTCAGGCGGTCATATCATTACCAACATTGTCTTTATTTTCTTTCCAGAGCATTCATACTACTCTTTGGCCTAGGTCGCTTTGCGTTTCTTTACTGAGCAATCACCCTTCGCTTTAGCCAAATTTGGTTTCTTTCTTTCCAGAGAATGCATACTACTCTTTGGCCTAGGTTGATTTTAGCTTCTTTCCTGAGCAATCACACTTCGTTTTGACCAAACTTGGCTTTTTTCTTTATTTCCAGAAAATTCACACTACTCTCTGTCCCAGAATGTAATATATTTTATTCCTTACTGGGCAGTCACACTTCTTTTGTTTTATTCGCTTCCTTTTAGTGTTAATGCGTTAAAATATTTGAGACAACATGGTAAAATTGTTGATTTGCGCAACTCGGCAAAACAAATGGTAAAAAGGGGAAATGAGGAAAACTCATGCTTGCAAACATAAGTCGAAAATATACTTTAATTAAAGTGATGATAAATATATATAACGTTGACTCTGCCAGTGTTAAAATATCTGTAGCCGTTATAATGTTCAATCAATGCTAGTTTAGCAAACGCTTGTCTATCTTGGGAAGTAAAATAACACACTTTTAAACTTCTTTGTAAAGGATTCTCACTACTTTCTGCCAGTCTCTGACCAGGTTCGCCTTTTTATTTATTTTTTATTCAGAATATTCAAACTAATATATCACTTGGTTCAATTTTGTCGTCTTAAAGCTTTTACTTTGCTTTCTCGCTTGAACATCTTATTTTTATGTTCAAACTGCTTTATGCCCTGGCGTTATCCAGAAAGAATATATTTTGACCGCCTTCTTGCCATGATATCCTTTTTTTTTCTTGTTCCTTTTTCAATCTACTACTTTTTGCAATTTATTTTTTGGGGGGTGTCTTATTAAGTCTCAGGAAACCTGCTTGTAAACCTTCTCCATAATTTCCCCTTGCATATAGAAAAATCAATGCGAGCTCGGAGAAATTAAATATTGTCTAAATAAAACAACTTAATACTATAATATTACATTACAATAGTACTGGTACTTATTCAAATCACATTATTCTTTATTCTCAAAATATTGGTTTCTGGTAAGAAAAGTGTACAATGGAATTTCATGAATACTTTGGTTGTTGTATACCGCTGCAGTTGAGACCTTTCGCTTAATACTTGTTTGTTTTGTTGTTTTTGTATTCCGCACAAAGCTACTTTGGTTGTTGTATACCGCTGCAGTTGAGACCTTTCGCTTAATACTTGTTTGTTTTGTTGTTTTTGTATTCCGCACAAAGCTACTTTGGTTGTTGTATACCGCTGCAGTTGAAACCTTTCGCTTAATACTTGTTTGTTTTGTTGTTTTTGTATTCCGCACAAAGCTACTTTGGTTGTTGTATACCGCTGCAGTTGAAACCTTTCGCTTAATACTTGTTTGTTTTGTTGTTTTTGTATTCC